GGGGAAAGAGAGAGAGGAGAGAGGGAGAGAGGGGGAGGAAGAGAGAGAAAGGAAGACAGGAAAAGAGAGAGAGAAGAGAGAGAGAGAGAGAGAGAGAAAGAACGGAAAAGCCAAAAATAGCAGCAGCGTGAAATGCAGATTCATGCGCCGGTGGGGCACAAAAAGCAAACATACTCTTTCACTTGATATAGGCACCAAACACTTTTTTAAAATCTGACAAAAATTAACAAATTTGTGTAGTTTTTATTCCTTACCTTTAGAGTGTTGTCTCATGTCTGCGAAATCAACGAAATAAAGGCGTTCAGTTGTGAATCAAGGCTGTCGCACTCTTGTGTAAGAAAACACAGTCGAAATTCGCACAGATAGGACTAGGAAACCAATCGGCACTACCAAGATGTTTCAATTGCCCTATCTCATGTCCACGCCAGACTTGGGCACGACCTTGTGTTAGAGAGTGACCGTCTGTGATATGAGTGTAAACAAACATTCCAGCGTTCTTGAGTTGAACACGTGCCATTTTGTCTGTGGGCAGTGAGTGAGTGAGAAAGAGAGAGAGAGAATTGGGTGGGGGGGAGAAAGAGAGAGAGGAGAGAGAGAGAGAGAAAGAAGGGAAGAAAAGAAAGAGAGGAGAGGAGCGAAAGAGTGAGAGAGAGAGGGGGGGGGAAGAGAAAGAGAGAGACAGAGAGAGAGAGAGTAAGATTTTTGAAAAATCCGGCGTAAAAAAAATTTTTTAATAAAAAATCAGGGTACACGCAATCAAAATCGGGAAAATCGGGATGCTTGAGATTTACGGCACGGATGAGTGGCAGGTTTAGAAAATAAACTGATTCATTATTCTTCAGAGCCTAGCAAATGACCACGAAAAACGTTTTTTTGACAGAAAGTGTTTGCAAATAGGTACACTTTGTAGCTCTATCACCACAGAGCATGGAACTTTTTGAATTTTTGAAATCCATCAATTTTTATATAAACAAAAAAATTACGATTTTTAATTAAAATCAAGTTATCCAGGCCCCCGTTTAGTTTTCAAGTATCCTTCCCCCCCTTTCCGGTTCACATATAAGCGGGACCTAGTTTGTAGCGCCCGAGGCAACCGATGGCTGATGATGTCACTCAGTGGAAATTTCCCAGCCGCCGGTCGTTCACCCAGTACGCGCAAACGGCAATGTCGATTTTTCCCTTAGTTACTCCCACATTTTTAAAGATTACCCAAAAACCGCTTAACACAGAAGCATGAAATTTTAAGGGAATAAAGAAAAATGGTGTACAATGTATCAGTCAGTTTGACAACTCACAGCTCACAAAATCTTCAAAGCGCACCATATCAACCAGTTTCGCAAACGTTTTCGACTACTTCTTGGATGGGTACAAAGTTGTCAAACTGCATACTACGAGATTGACCTCTTTTCTGATTGGCTGCCAAGTTTCATTCATATCCATTCACGAGAAGCGGCGTGAGAGCGAGTTGAAGACAACAACCTTTGCGTTAGTGCCAAAAATCGGCAGAACAAAACGCGCTTAGTGGGCATTGCTACAGAGCCATCCCAGGGTTCACATTCCAGTCTTTCCACACTTTCGATGACGGAAAATCCATGTTTACTACTAGTGTGTTAAAGAAGGATGGGGGTAATCTAACGGCAGGGGTAAACTCAAGGCACGACACCTGCAAATGTGAGCAACCAGAATGTGGGCGGAGCTTCTGTGCTGAAGCAAGCCTGTGTTGCCGGACACTGCGCATAGCTGATAAGTAGGTCGACTTGTCGACTTCTTCTGACACAGAAGGTGACTGTCGTGCATGTGTGTGGGTGTGTCGTCAAATCAGTGACTCGGCTTTGGGATAGAAAATGGGGGAAATGATGCTTGCCAGATGCACACCATCTACGTTTTTTAAAGCGTATATGCAAACCCCTCAAATGAAATATAGAGAGTAAAGCTCACGCACAACCAAAACTTAAAGGGGGTAATCTGCAGGTTTAAAGCGTAATATACGCATATTTGTGCGTAAAGGGGAGCCCTGACTGTGACGTCTTGAGTCTTGACTGCACCAATCACCAGTCTCAGTGTGACGAAATGACCGTGAGACGAAATGACTGGTAGGCCCTCCTATTCCTAGCCCAGACACCAGATGCTCTGCTGACAGACAATGACAATATTAGTTGAGGTGGTTAGACAAGAGGGAACTTACCGCCAGCTCGTTGTTGAATTTTGCTTGTCTTAGCGTTTCAGCACGCAGATGAGAAACTTTATTTTCTAAAAGAACTTTACAGAACAATTCAATGACTCCTCTAACATGGTTGGACTTTGACATTGCAGTGCATCACCAGCCCGCTTGAATCTTCTACTTCACCCGTACACTCGACAGCTTCTCTTAAACTTCCTTCCAAACAATAATTCCATTCCAAACATGTGTGGTGGAAAGTTAGTGGTTGGATGACGGCGGATGGATTCATGAGGATTCCAGGATTCCTGGATTAGTAAGAAACATTCAAACAGAGTGATGTCCCTTTACATTTTTAAAAACAAAAATTCTGAAATCAAAAAGCCAAGTCCCAATTTCAATTTAGATGGGGGTTTTTAGTAGCAATTTCTATCAATGAAAATCTGTTACAGTAAGTATTGATTATAATTATGAATTAATGCTCATTTTACTATATGCAGTTGCAAAAGAAACTCAAAATTTGTTGAAGTTGAAGGTATTGTTTTGTTAATACAAAATCTTCCCAATTTTTTTCTGGTGTAGGCTTGGTGTCAACTTCCGTTTCAAACAAAATGGCATCCTCCAAGAAGAAAGTTGTCACTAAAGATGAGCTACGACGTTTTATGAAAGAGAAACAGACTCTTTCAAAAACTTCTGCGAAACGAGTTGATCACCCACTTGCAAAGTAGAGTATAACATGTCTCTTTTACAGTAGTACTCGGTGCTTGAGTCAGTTACCAAGTCTTTACAGAATCACACTACAGTACAACAGAATAAATTAGTATATGGGTCATTCCACCAGTATTGTTTACTTTTACTGCTCACTATTTTCCACCTCAATAACACCCACCAAAAGTCACCATCTGCAGACATTCAAGTA